ATATATGAGTGTCACAGCAAAGGGTCTGAATACTTAGGACCATGTGATATTTCAGTTTTTCTTTTTTAATAAATCTGCAAAAATGTCAACAATTCTGTGTTTTTCTGCCAATATGGGGTGCTGTGTGTACATTAATGAGGAAAAAAATTAACTGAAATGATTTTAGCAAATGGCTGCAATATAACAAAGAGTGAAAAATTTAAGGGGGTCTGAATACTTTCCGTACCTCTGATTGTATTCGTCTGAAAGAAGAAAGTCATATACACCTAGGATGGATTGAGGGTGAGTAAATCATAGGGTAATTTTTATTTTTTGGGTGAAGTGTCCCTTTCTCACTTTGTAGCATTAGATTTGTATTGCCAATCCTGTTAAGGAGCTACCCCATATTAATGCCTCAGGTTTGATCTTCTACAGAAGATTTCTTCAAACTATAAGTGTTATGTTTGGCTGCTTTGCCTCAGAAAGAGCCTAACTTATAGAAAGCCTTGGTGGTCACACTGTTACTGGCTTTGTGATCTGATGTAGATCTGAAGAGAGGAATTCACTAATAATTCTGCTTCCTGATTACATTGTTTATTTATATCTTCTTCAATCTAGCATCACTAAAGGAAATGCAAATGCAGGTAAAGTTATGAACATAACCACAAAAGTATTGCCCAATCATTTAATGAATTACTGCTGCCATGATCAATCAAAAAGCACATAGTTTTAACATCAAATTCAGTTTTACCCACAGCTTCTCACGGGTGATATAACATCAGATATTCACCCCTGATTATTCTTTGTAATGCTGCCATAATCTGGCCTTCAGATGTCAAAACTTTAAAAAAGAAATAAAGCAAACAGCACATCTATGAAGGTGATTCATTTTTAATGGTAGTATTTGTGATTCACAGAGGCAGGAATGAGAGATTTGATATGCAACTCTGACAGACTAAGTATCGATCAGTAGTTTTGCGCTCGCTTGGCGTCTCTGACTCACGACAGCCGATGGCTTGGACTGCTTCAGGAGGTTGATTGCGGTTGAATCGTTTCACTCTCCATTGCTGCAGTTGCCAGATTGGACCGATTGATCTTTGTGCTAACAGCTAACTGTAAAGTGTAGTTCAGCTGTTGGCCTAGTATCTAGCTAATGTACTTGGCTTCATGCCTAATAATGGACTCTGGGTTATTGTGCACAGAGGGTCCCTTTGTTGGCTTGTTTGACATGTTTTGTTTGGGTATTTACCCACTGACTTCCTGTTAGTAGGTTGAGGATTGGTCTGTGTGAGTGTGTGCCAGGGCATTCCTGATCCTCCTCCCCATCTCCACACGGAGCTCCGCAGTGACCTAAAGACTACAGGCACCCTTATCATTAGCGCTATGTAGGGAATTTGCAGATTTTTCAAGAGCTGGATGTGCAGTGTGGTAATAATCTTCTTGTATATGTGCCCATGTGTTTTGTTTGTGAATTTTGTGTGGGTGAGAGTGTGAGTACTTCCAGTGATTTATTAGTGGTGTAAAAATGTCCCATGGTTTGGTTTCAAGCTTGGATCAGAGATGTGTTGGTGTGTGAGAGTTTGAGTTGTTATATGGTATTTTATGCCCCTTAAGCTAGCTAACCGCAGCTCAGAATGCAGGGCCTCTTCGATCAGGGAAGCAGTCCAGCAATCAAAATCCCAACCACAGTAACGCCTGGCAGCTGACTGCAGCGCTGCAGCACCATCCAATGCCCACATCCAGAACCCAACACTAAAGGCCTCTAATGCACTGCAGCACTAGTAATACTGCTAACCTTCTGCTGCGAAGAAAAGCACTTAGAGCGAAAGTTAACCCGAAAATTAAAAATCTCCCTTTATGTCGTTCCAAAAACTTTACTTCTTCTGTGAAACATAAAAGAAGATAATTTAAGAAATGTCTCAATGATTTTTTGGCAATACACTAAAAGACACAAAAATATATCAGAATATAAAATCTTCAAAATATATTATTTTCTTCTTCCACAGAAGAAAGGTTTAAAACAGCATGAGGGTGAGCTAGGTTTGGATATCGAGAACCAGTTTCATTTTAGAATTGGATTTAGTGCAAGATGTGAAAGAGAAGTCAATTGGGCACTCTTACTCTGTTTTCTGTGCTGTAGACACATCAAAAACATGCACTCAAAAAAGACGCCTGTCGTATAGTACAGAATTAAACCGCTCTCTTTCGTGTCTTCTTGCGCTTAAATAATTACACAATTTTGTTATTAAATTATGTCATAACCTCGTAAACACAGTCAGTTTTGTCTTTAGTGAACATAAACAGTTGAGAAAAAAATGCATTTGTATCAGTATATTGGATCTGTGCATTAGGTCTTAAAGTGATAGCAGTCTATACCTGCTGCTGCCCGTGCAATTAATGTTAAAGGGTTAGTTCACCCAAAAATGAAAATTCTGTCATTAATTACTCATCCTCGTGTTGTTTTAAACCTGTAAGACCTTCATTCATCTTCGGAACAATTTAAGATATTTTTTGCTGAAATTTGAGGGCTCTCTGACCCTCCAATAGACAGCAAGGGAACTAGCACGTTCAAGGTCCAGAAAAGTACCAAGATGACAAAGTAGTCCATGTGACATCAGTGGTTCAACTGTAATGTTACGAAGCTACGAGAATACATTTTTGTGCAAAGAAAACAAAAATAATGACTTTATTCCACATTTTCGTCTCTACTGCGTCACTTGTGGATGCGTGTTCACGGCAGTACCATGACGCAAGCATGTGGTGGTGCCGGCGCTTACCCAGATCCGGCGTGAACGAAGGTCTTACGGGTTGAATGATGAACGAAGGTCTTACGGGTTTGGAACAACACGAGGGTGAGTAATTAATGACTAAATTATTTTGGGGTGAACTATCCCTTTAATTTAAGAACAAAAGAAGAAAATCACTCACTGATCTTGACTGAATAACTTGTAACTAGGGATTAATCTATATTTTATTTCTAAAAAGAAAACTATGCAGTATTATTTTACATTGGATTACATTTTATTTACAATTCTGCACCTTTCTGTTGTCTTATTTTTTTCTGTTTTAAGATGGGTGGCAACTAGCGTTAAGGTTCAATACTGCCACCTACTGTCTTGGATTATGTACGACTTTATCAAATGTGTAATATTAACATGAGATATATATATATATATATATATATATATATAATTTTTTTTTAATATATATATATATATATACCCCATTTCCAGACAGACAAAACGAAAACACAGTTTATTAAAGGGATAGTTCACCCAAAAATGAAAATTCTGTCATTAATTAACCACTGATGTCACATGGACTATTTTAACTTTTTGAATGTGTCAGTTGCGTTGCTGTCTATGGAGGGTCAGAAATCTCGGATTTCATCAAAAATATCTTAATTTGTGTTCCGAAGATGAACGAAGGTCTTATGTGTTTGGAACGACATGAGGGTGAGTAATTAATGACAGAATTTTCATTTTGGGGTGAACTATCCCTTTAAGCTTAGCTCACACTAGTGGACCGACTCTTCTCGTTGTGTCGTGTTTGACTGCTAGTTCATGTCTGTTAGCTTTGAGGGCGTATATAAGTCCTACTGAACTTCCTGTACTCAAAGTGGACACAATTCACTTTTAACAAATATCTGCTTATAAAATATACAATTTAAATATAACATTTTCAATAAAATGTACTTTCTTTTTGCGGCATCAAATATTGATGAAATTACACCTGTTTATGATCAGCAATAACAAGTAGCAAATCATGGTTCGTAGTTCTGAAATCCAGCCTACCTGTGTTTAGATGCATTCATAGTCTCTGACAAGCAAAAGAGCATGAATAGCAGCAGCCAATTAAATTGCTAGAGGAAAGAGCCAAGACTTAATGCATAAAATGGCCTTTGCTTACTACCGATTCCATCTGTAACTGATAAGCTGTGCTACCCACGTCTCCCACTGTCTCATTCATATTTTTTTGCCTCTTTCCTTCTTTTTCCGTTTTGTGTATAAACAGCCCCAAGCCCATTCTCCATGTTGTTTGTTGACATTAGTGGTGTCTGGTGCTCTTCAAGATTGGGAAAGCACAGATGTCACTTATCAATGGGAAATGTGCTTTGAAGAACGGCTACAGTGGTGCTCTATATGAACAGTGTGTCCACTAATGCTCTATGGATATATTCATCTAGACAACTTGAATTAACGCTACAGTATGAGAGTTCTGTGGAATAGTTTGCGCTTTTATTTGCTGAAATAATTCTAGATAAAAGGGATTTATATATAAAATATACTTGCGGTCAAAAGTTTGGAATAAATACGATTTTGTTAATGTTTTGAAAGAAGTCTCTAAGGTTCACCAAGGCTGCATTTATTTGATCAAAAAATACAGTAAAATCAGTAATGTTGAGAAATATTGTTACAATTTAAAATAACTGTTTTAAATTTTAAAATATAATTTATTCCTGTGATATCAAAGCTACATTTTCAGCATCATTACTCCAGTCTTCAGTGTCACATGTTCCTTCAGAAATCATTCTAATATACTGATTAGCTGCTCAATAAACATTTAATGTTATTATCAATGTTGAAAACAGTTGTGCTGTTTAATATTTTTTTTGTGGAAACTGTGATATGCAGTTCAAAAGAACAGCATTTATAGATATTAATAGATATATAGTAACAGAAATGTTTTTGCTGTAATTTTCAATGCGTTCAATGTGCCCTTGCTGAATAAAACTATTAATAATAATAATAATTATTAATATATTAATAAAAGTCGTGTATGTAAAATTGCATTGTGATTTTATATATATAAATAAAATGTTTTGCTGCAGGAGCTACATATAGACACACCCAAATATGTTGTGGTTTTAATTCGTTGAACAATTTTAATGTTAATAATTTATAATATTGACAATGATATTGTTGTCCAAAGAAGAGAAAATATATCTGACAAGACTTCTATATTTTATGCATCTGTACTATATGATGAGCAAGTCATCTTTATCTCTCTTTCTCTGGCAGATGACAGTATTTCTGCGGCGAGCACATCAGACGTGCAGGACCGCCTGTCGTCTCTGGAGCTGCGGGTGCAGCAGCAGGAAGATGAGCTGACGGTGATGAAGGCCGCGCTGGCAGACGTGCTCAGACGTCTGGCTCAGTCGGAGGACTCCGCCGCGGCTGCCAAAAAACAGCAAAGCAGCAAAGGTAGCCTAGCACTGCCGTGTGTGTGTGCGTCTATGCCTCCAGTGATCCTCCAACTGTTTACTCGCAGGAAGTGTAGGAGCGCAGCCAGACCAGGATCTGTTAACAGTTTCAATCCAGCCTTGACCCACGGCGCTGAACGTTTCCATTTGAATAGAAGCTCTGTGTGTGTGTGTGTGTGTGTGTGTGCACGTTCGTGTGTGTGAGCGTGTGATCTTGGGTTGGCTGCTTGAGGGAAGGCATTTTAATGTTTGACCATTAAAACTGACTTCACTTTGTTCTCCGTTTAACACACCGTATAAAACACACTGGCTGCCTCGCGCCCTGTTTCTCTCGCTCTCACACACACACGTATACTTGTGTATATTTAAACTTCATGCAGCTTAAAGTTTTTTGATGTTAAAATACTTTTGTCCTTTCCTGGTTTAATATGTAATAAAGACTAAGGATGACTGTAACAAGTGTGGCGCTGACAAAATTTTGCTCTGTTTGTTTGAGCGGCCCAACATGTTCACAGCTTACTCAGCCAATGACGTTTTGGGCGGACTAGCTACTAATCTACTATTAACCACAGGTTTTTAGAAGTATTGAGAGAAACAGTAAATGTTTCTTGTTCCATTAATGTTTAAGAAAGTAGTATGGCAATAGTTGTCCCAGGACCTCATCACGTTGATTCCCAGTTATCATATTGTAAATAAAAGCATTATTTTGGCATCAAATGTTGTGTAAAATAACCCTTATGTTAGAAAAGGAGTGTTTAAAGTACAGAATACTTTCTATGCATACATGTCAAGTCAAGTGCTTTGCAATGCATTGTGGGATGCGATGTCTTATGTAGTATTCCCTGCTTTATATTGCATGTAATGGCAAATATAGCTGGTCATTCAGGTATTCTTTGAATAAGGAATTTTTCATACTATGTACATGTTGTTTTAACAGAAAAATAAAATAAAAAAAAACTGGCAGCTGTGGTTGCCAGAATAATTCAGTAAAATGTAAACATCTTTACAAAGCAACCTGTACATTTTGTAATTTACAAATAATTAATTAATAATAATCATTGATCATTTAAACTAGTCATTCATTCAGGAACGAAACACCGTCATGCTGCTCAGAGACGCAAAACAGTGCTGTGGCTTTGTTTGGAATTATTTTTGTTGTCAGAATAGCGCAAACACAGGAAATATAATGGTTTTTGCAAAATACTCGATAACGTCAAATCGCAAATCGTTAAAACAACATTTACGATATTATCGCAGATGATATCGAACACCCCTAATAGTATTAAAGTCTACAAAGTCTGAAAGGCTGTGCATTCGGTTGTAAGCAAATGCTTAGTGTTTGCGTTAAAACTAAAGTATGCTTTGGACTTTATTTTCATCAGTATCTGATTTAGCACACGTCTTCATTTTCTCTTTAAAATTAAAGCTGCGAACAGACAATTGTACTCAGAAGTTTACATTTATACAATCCTTCTTATAAAAAAAAATATATATAAAAAGGGCTTGTAAATGTATGAGCGTAACTAGAGTGGATGAATAAAGGGAATGAATTACTGTACATATGAGGACAGGAGAGATTGAAGAGCTGGAAAATCTGGCACTGTGTTCTCCTCATCCATTCACTCCACGACGCGACCAAAGGTGCGTCACACTAGACCTCATGTTCCATTCACTCCCATTCACAAGTAATTCTTACCATTTTACAAAGATTGCTGGGTTGGATTTCCATTTGTATGTCAGATGATAGGCTTTGGAAAAAATAGACTTGAGTAATTATACATATTAGTGTACAAATGTCTCCAATTAGACCAATGGACAGACTAATGAATGTTTTACTCAACACAAGCAATAACAAAGAGCAGTTCGATCACAATGAAATATTTTACAGCAGAACAAACCTAGAAAGATTAATATTCATTATTAAAATTTTCATGACTTTAGAAGATTTTTCTCAGACTTTTCCAGGCCTGGAATTCATTGTTATTTCCATGTTTTTGATTACTAAAAATACATTTTTGGAATATACGAAGCCCTGCACATGACATGCACGAAAAAATTAATAAATCGTGCGCACAATTTACTAATTTGTTCCCTCGATGTACTAAAATGTATGCGCACGATTACTATTTCGTTCCCTCGATTTGCTAAATCGTGTGCACGATTTATTATTTCGTTCCCTCAATTTATAAATTGTGCGCACGATTACTATTTCGTTCCCTCGATTTATAAATTGTGCGCACGATTACTATTTCGTTCCCTCGATTTATAAATTGTGCGCATGATTACTATTTCGTTCCCTCGATTTATAAATTGTGCACACGATTTCTATTTCGTTCCCTCGATTTATAAATTGTGCGCACGATTACTATTTTGTTCCCTCGATTTATAAATTGTGCACACAATTACTATTTCGTTCCCTCGATTTATAAATTGTGCACACAATTACTATTTCGTTCCCTCGATTTGCTAAATTGTGTGCACGATTACTATTTCGTTCCCTCGATTTGCTAAATTGTGCACACAATTTACATTTTAGTACATCAAGGGAGCAAATTAGTAAATCATGCGCACGATTTATTTATTTTTTCGTGCATGTCATGTGCTGGGCTCTGTAGGAATAAACAGCATTGTTATTTTCTTATACATTTTTATAAAAATTGTATTTTGTATTATACATATTATTATTGTTTATTTAAAGTCTAGTGTGACGCAGCTTAATGTGTGTGTTCAGACATTTGATCTGCTCTGTGTAAAGGAGCCGGTCATGTGACAGACACAGGGCACGAGGACTGCAGGGGGGTGCTTGAATTTCTGCCTTTAAAAACATACAGGGCAGGGCCTAGAAATAATTTTACCAAATGAAAAGGAAAAGAAAGCAAGAAACAACAATTCTCAGGCAGTGAGCAAGCAATGAAAACGGGCAAAACGAAACCAAGCCTCTAAACAAAATAGAAATTCAAGCCTTGAATGGCAATTGCCAGACAAAACCATCAGAAAGAAGGCCAACCTTTGACTCAACACAGAACACAGCTTGGACAGCTACACTGCTCATTTTTTATTATGACTGTTTTCCACATTTTACAGTAATAGTCATCAAAACTGGAAGCTAATAGCCAAAACAAACCTCAAAATAGTGATGTTATTTAGTATAAGCATGCAGAGCTCCGTCCTTACTAAAAAGACGTGTCATAATATGAAGGTCAGATCATCCTTCCTGAGTCCATGACTGAATTTTTATTTTTTTTTTACATGAAATGTATCAGTATATGATTGAATCTTTATTGTGAACACACTGAAAAAAGTGTGCATTCCTTCTAAAAGCTATTTGTTAGATAAAATTTGATATGTCTGCTTTTCGGACTTCATCTATTTGAATTCAACAATTACTTTGGATCTCAAAATAGCTTCATGTTTAAGCTAGTTGAGACTGGATTTCACCAATAAAGATAATGTGCTAAACGGTTCCAACCTAATCCTGCACTCAAAATATTTTATCTTTGTTTTATACACTACTGTCAAAAGATTGGGATCAGAAAGATTTTTTGAAGAAATTAATACTATTTTATTTAGCATGGATGCATTCAATTGATCAGAAATGTACGTTTCTGATCAAGTAAGCACATTTATGTCCCACTTTATATTAAGTGGCCCTAATACCTGTGTACTTACATAGTAACTAGATGTGTACGTAGTATGTAACCACAGTGTAAGTACACATTGGAACATAGTATCTACAGCTGTAATGTTTGTGTAACTACACAAATGTAACAACCATCAGAATGGTATATGTAAATGCAAATGTGTAACAGGACATTGGTAACAACACTTTTTGGTAATGAAAGTACAAATGTGTAACAGGACATTGGTAACAACACTTTTTGGTAATGAAAGTACAAATGTGTAACAGGACGTTTGTAACACTTTTTGGTAATGAAAGTACAAATGTGTAACAGGACATTTGTAACATCACTTTTTGGTAATGAAAGTACAAATGTGTAACAGGACATTTGTAACATCACTTTTTGGTAATGAAAGTACAAATGTGTAACAGGACATTTGTAACATCACTTTTTGGTAATGAAAGTACAAATGTGTAACAAGACGTTTGTAACAACACTTTTTGGTAATGAAAGTACAAACGTGTAACAGGACGAATGAACCACATTTTCTTTCCACTGCCCATATTTACTCACTGCGCCCATTATGACCCATTATTCTCACTTTTACTCCTCCACTTCTCTTTCATTCTCACCCTGCTGATTTGAGTTTCAAGGCTGACTCACTGCTTCTATAACATTCAATCCCCCTATCTATTCCCCCTCATTTCCCATAATCCCCCACACACTAGTATCTTTCCCCAAACTCTCAGTCTTTCCACTCAAATCCTCTCCCAAACCTCAGTTTATCCTTAATCAGCTGCTCTCTGGACAATATCTGTGAAAGGGCTCTATTCACTGAGGAATACTGCTACGCTGGTTCCTCACAAACTGCTTTTCCCAGTTACAAACGAATGCGATGATTGATTGATTGTTTTTGTGATTAATCTGATCTGACACATTTGGCATATCATGAATGTTGTGTGTGTGTATATATATATATATATATATATATATATATATATATATATATATATATATATATATATATATCGATATAGACTGATATGAAAAAAAAAGATTTGTGATATTTTTTTGGGCCATATCTCCCAGCCCAACCCTGAAACAACACACAAACTACCCAATGTTGCTATAAGTTTGATCGCAACATATAATCATTGCTGTTAATAGTGTTCGCCGTCTGTTTGATTACGTCATTAACTAACCACATGATTTTTACCGTACATTTCCGCCATATGGACATCAACTTGACATAGTCACCACTGATAAGCCACTACTAAATATAATGTAGAAACGTGAATTTTCTGTAAAGCTGCTTTGCAACAATTTGTATTGTGAAAAGCACTACACAAATAAACGTGAATTTAATTATTATAATTATCAGTGTAGAAAACGCTTTATGATGATGCTATAGTGACCCATACTTAATCAAAGACTATAGAGTACCCAAGACGTGTCACTCGTATAGTTTTGAATGGGGAAAAATGCAAGGCTCAATCGCAGGAAGCCCCGCTTTCTGAATGAAAGAGCCAATCGCTAATCGGTAAAGTCAGCGCGTCACTGCAGCTGCCGTTAGAAGTCCTGTTTGCTATAGAAACAGTCAGTGTTCTGAGACGTGCTCTTAGGACTGCATATGCACACTGGCTGATCTAGCCTGAAAAATACGCTTTTTATAACGTTATTTGAGCAAAAGTAACAACATTTATGACACCGTTGTTGTCAGATTTCTTTGGTGATTTCAAATATGAAATTTAATCGTAAGCTTAGTGAACCGTTTTGGAGAATTTTATGTTTCCCCGTTCAAAGAGCTAGGAGTTGCACTTGCATGCCCGAGTGACATGACTTGTCTTAAAAGGACTTTGACTTAATACAATATACTGTATGAATGTCAGTGGACTGGATTTTTTAATTTAATTATTATAATTATCAGTGTAGAAAACGCTTTATGATGATGCTATAGTGACCCATACTTAATCAAAGACTATAGAGTACCCAAGACGTGTCACTCGTATAGTTTTGAATGGGGAAAAATGCAAGGCTCAATCGCAGGAAGCCCCGCTTTCTGAATGAAAGAGCCAATCGCTAATCGGTAAAGTCAGCGCGTCACTGCAGCTGCCGTTAGAAGTCCTGTTTGCTATAGAAACAGTCAGTGTTCTGAGACGTGCTCTTAGGACTGCATATGCACACTGGCTGATCTAGCCTGAAAAATACGCTTTTTATAACGTTATTTGAGCAAAAGTAACAACATTTATGACACCGTTGTTGTCAGATTTCTTTGGTGATTTCAAATATGAAATTTAATCGTAAGCTTAGTGAACCGTTTTGAAGAATTTTATGTTTCCCCGTTCAAAGAGCTAGGAGTTGCACTTGCATGCCCGAGTGACATGACTTGTCTTAAAAGGACTTTGACTTAATACAATATACTGTATGAATGTCAGTGGACTGGATTTTTAAAAAAAAAGTATTTTTATGTCAGTGGTACTGTAATTAAAATGGACTAGTAAATCAGTTGACTAATCCAGTTAGCATGTCTGGCTTTATTTAAGCCAGACTCTTTACAGTCTATATCGTCTTTTTCTATTTCCTGACTGTTGATCATGTTCAATTTTATGACTTCCAAGCATTCAAAAGTCTTAGAAATCAATAGAATCTGAAGTCACAGAAGAGTCTGGAAATGTCTCTATTGAATTCAAATCTTATATTTAATATTTAAATTCTATATATTCTGTAGAATTATATATATCATGCATTTAGAATCGTATATAGTTATGTTCAGCATTACAATATTCATAATGTCTTATGAATATTCAAACCATATGAATTGATGAGTGAAAGTGCATTTTTGAACGAATCTAGTGAGTCAGTGATTCATGATTACCCATTCATAAAGACAGTCACTTGCTTCATTCCTGAATGACTTAGCCGTTCAAACGAATCAATTGAATGAATGATTCAGTGATAAATGAATACATGAATTCGGTAACATTTTACAAAAAGCTCCCATTTATATGGAAGCACGTTTCCACCACATAATTTAAAAAAATAAAAAGTAATTGTGACTTTATATCTCACAATTCTGACTTCTTTCCTCTGAATTCTGAGTTACTAAGTTCTGTGTCACCGTTAAAAAGTTGCAATTACCCTTCTAATTTTTTTTTATCCTGTGGCATAAACAAGCTTCCATACATTTAACATGAGATAATGCATGTTAAAGAACAACATGTTTTACAGTATTTATAAGTTGTTCATTGTTTGTGAAGGAGTGTATTTGGCATAGAAAAACTCTTCATACGCCCAACTCATTTTTTGAAACTTTGACCATATTTAGCATGAGAATCCAACTCTTTAGCAGTGTAAATAAGTCAAAATGCATGAAACAGCATTAGGCCTCCCCTTTAATATAAAAAAGCTTATCCAATTGGAAAATTCATGGAAATTTAAAAGTCAAAGGGTGTGGGAAGCCTAATAGAAGGTCTGTGCAGTAAATGTGTTGCGGTGCTGAGATTTGAGTCATTGTTTTAAGATATAAGAGGGAATAAAACCAATGTGCAATGTGTCTCCTGCAGGTCAGACCCCGCTGCGAGAGGCTTATTCAATGTCCTGTATTGCCAATGGCAGTTCCAGCGGCCGCAAATCTCACAGAGATAGTTCCACAGTGTCCATAGCCAAGAAAGAGACACTCTCCTCCGCCGCCAAGAGGTAATGCACACACAACTGAAATTGTGCAAATGATCTCAAAGCCTCCTCTACACATTTTGGATGTCTCCCTTCTCTGACCCATTTCAGCTCGCCACTAATGAGCTGATGATTTGAAGCAGGTGTGTTAGATTAGGGAGATAATCACAGTGAGGTGTGGTGGCAAACCTCCATGACTGGTTTGGGAAACACTGTGCTAGGATACTGTTAATGAATTTTTAACAGACACACTTTTAAAATATAGTCGTCTGGAAAAATGCTGTCAAAAATATTGACGACTCATCTTACGCTGACGTATTCAAATGTTGGTGCATTCAGGTGTTCTCTGTTTAATATGTGATGTTCTTTCAGCCTGAAGAAATATATTCATCTGAAAGTCTGTGAGTGTTTCACCTCAGTGTTGAGATGCTCAGCTCTCCTCATCTTTTCATGTGTATCGGATCTTCCTCTGTTGACCTGCATGTTGTTTTTGCAGTGGTGGTGAGCGGAAAAAAGACAAGCCTCCAATGGAGGGCATCAAGGAGAAAGAGGAGCCGCCACAGGCTAACGACAAAACCTCCTCATCGCCCAGCACCCCTCAGGCACCGTCCCCTTCCAGCAACCCCCCCTCCCCTCATCCCCCACAGCCCCAAAGACAGCTTTCGGAGAACAAGGGGTCAACCCCGGCCAAAAGGTTCCTCCCAACAGCCATGCGATTTCTGGCAGTGTTCGAGCAGCGTTTGGCAATCTGCTTGCTGTGGTTTCGCAACCTATTGACGTAAAGCCAAGGGGCAGGGCTGACATGCTTCCTCAATCATTATCAAGATCAATAGAGCGCAACAGTGACTGGCCACTTTTTATCTGCCTTGGTTCCGGAAGTATTTTTCTCATTTATTTTCTCTGTAGGGATTTAGAAAAATGATTAGCTGAACATCTTGGACCAAACCAAGATGAATCACAATATTAAAACTAGTGCTGTCAAACGGTTAATCGCGATTAATCGTATCCAAAATAAAAGATTTTGTTTACATAATATATGTGTGTGTACTGTGTATATTTATTATGTATATATAAATACACACACATGCGTGTATATATTTAAGACAAATATGTTGTTTATACATTTAAAATATTTATGTATAGCAGCAATTATGTGAATATAAATATATACATGGAAATATTTTCAAAATACATACTGTATGTGTGTGTATTTATATATGCAGTGGTGGTGAGCGGAAAAAAGACAAGTCTCCGATGGAGGGTATCAAGGAGAAAGAGGAGCCGCCACAGGCTAACGATAAAACCCCCTCAGCGCCCAGCACCCCTCAGGCACCGTCCCCTTCCAGCAACCCCCCCTCCCCTCATCCCCCACAGCCCCAAAGACAGCTTTCGGAGAACAAGGGGTCAACCCCGGCCAAAAGGTTCCTCCCAGCAGCCATGCGATTTCTGGCAGTGTTCGAGCAGCGTTTGGCAATCTGCTTGCTGTGGTTTCGCAACCTATTGACGTAAAGCCAAGGGGCAGGGCTGACATACTTCCTCAATCATTATCAAGATCAATAGAGCGCAACAGTGACTGGCTGCTTTTTATCTGCCTTGGTTCCGGAAGTATTTTTCTCATTTATTTTCTCTGTAGGGATTTAGAAAAATGATTAGCTAAACATCTTGGACCAAACCAAGATGAATCACAATATTAAAACTAAGTGCTGTCAAACGATTAATTGCGATTAATCGCATCCAAAATAAAATATTTTGTTTACATAATATATGTGTGTGTACTGTGTATATTTATTATGTATATATAAATACACACACATGCGTGTATATATTTAAGACAAATATGTTGTTTATACATTTAAAATATTTATATATAACAGCAATTATGTGAATATAAATATATACATGGAAATATTTTCAAAATACATACTGTATGTGTGTGTATTTATATATACATAATAAATATACACAGTATACACACATATATTATGTAAACAAAAACTTTTATTTTGGATGCGATTAATCGTTTGGCAGCACTAATTAAAACATTTGATTTGAAGACGAAAAATACAGTTCTTTATGGTGAATGAAATACTCCCATAAATTATGATATTTTATTCAATGAATTTAGTACAGCATTGCAAATGTTGTAATAATATCAAAAACAAAATGCAGTACAAAATAATGAATAAAATTATTCACTTCTCATTAACAAGTATTGTGAGTATAAAAACAATATAAAATATATAAATGTATGTTTTAATTCAAAACACCTATCATTAAAAAGTTTGTGGTAAGTAAATATATTTAATGTTTAAAAAAAAAAAGAAATGCTTACCAAATAAATAATTATAAATACAGAATGTATTTATTTAAAATATTTCATATCTGACTTTAAAAAGTAAAAATAGTAGCATTGTGAAATATTACAATTAAAAATAAATGTTTTATTTGATAATATATTAATTAATATATTAATAAAATTTAATTTGTATTATATATATATATATATATGTATGTGTGTATGTATGTATGTGCACACACACACACACACACACACACACACGTGCTGGTATTACTATCCTTGTGGGGACATTTGGTCCCCATAACGTGATAAATACCAGGAACACACACACATTTTAAATATTCAGATATATACAAATATATAAGTAACTTTATAATGTAAGGAGAACAATTCACTTCCATCATTTGCAAATATTCATCATTTTTTAAAAGAGTGGATGCAGTGGATTTTATTGTGGAAAAAAGGATGGAGTTTTTACTTCCAGAACATAGTATGCGTTGCTGTTCAAATGAAGTCACTAAGACTTAAAGAAACAACATCCATCATCTCATTACAAAAACCTCATTTCCAGGCTCTTAAATGAATTATATCTAAACAAATTTTTGCTTTCTCTTCATTTATCAGTACTTGTCCCTCATTCTATGCTAAATGTCCTGCTAGGATCAGGCTGACAGTGTAGGTCAGAATGTGTTATGCTCTGGATCGCTCTGAGCGGTCCACCCAGAAGAGGAAACTAATGGAAAGCAGATGTGATGTCCTCTCAGTGCTCAAACTCTTGGTTCTTGCTTAATAATCCGCAGAATAATCAGGCTAACACATTAGCCCAGCCATGCTTCAACACCATTAGCAAACCTTCTAGTCTGTACTTAATAACCCAAGAACCTGCCTGCTGGGTTATTCATATCGACTCTGCAAGCTGCCCCATCCAATTAGCTAAAGAGAACTGGAAAACCAATTAGCTGTCTCCCTAATGTCATTTCACAGCCTGATCCATGCTTGTTGGACGATGCAACAAGAAGGTTATTAGCCAGGATTTGGCCACAATCACATTACTTAGAAAAGCCTCTGCAATCGATGAAGATGGCAAAGACTTGAGCTTTCTTATAGGTAATTAGCATCAGAGATGCTAAATTTGTGGTTGTTGTTGTTAGCACAATGTGTTTTAGGAATCTTGCAGAGATTGTTTTGAGAAATGTACAGTTCTCAATACTGTGATGCCTCATGTGATGTCTATATTTTCTTGAAAAGAAGAACTCTTAGTAATAGAAAGTGCAGTAGATATAGGGATGGACATCGTTAGACCTGTATACCTCACAAGTAGCCCCATATGTAGAACTCAAGCCAGTTTTTTCACATGTGGAAGTGTGTCCGCTCTGCCCCGGAGTACTATCCATTCCCTTTCCTCTCTTACTCCCATGTTTGGTGAGGATGGAGGTACTTTGCTACAGCTCTGACCTATTTAATACCCTTAAGCCCAAAGTATACTTCAGTTTTAGTGTGAACACTTTGCGTATACGTACAACCGAACCCACAGCCTTTCAAAGTATACACCATTTGATAGCGTGTGAGAACACAGACGCTCAAAACTTGCGCTCTATAAAGTTTCATCTGCGTCCAATGTCTGCGCCATTTCTCTACAAAAGTTATGACCGATAAAAATGTCTTCATACTCGCTTATGAAGTACGAATACCCACAGATAGAACATTCTAGCTGATGAAATTTAAATTGTGCAATGTACACGTGAAAACCTAAGTATACTTTGGGCTTTAATGTGCGTGTACATCTTTGAGTTTCTGGATCTACCAAAATTTCTTCCCATGCTCCCCTGCCTTAACCTCTATATTCTCAGCTTAAGTCTATAGACTCCGCTCAGTTTAGGGCTGCTAACCAGAAGGTTGTTGGTTCAAGCCCCAAAATGAATTTTTTGCATAAAGGTCAGATTTTCCCAACATTTTTGTTGCACTTCCCACTTTTCTGTCAAAAAAGCTTCCTTTTTTAGCTCCCAGAGCGAATGAATTGGAAATTGAGTCGTTGTAGTAGGGGTGGTCCAGAAAACTGGTTTGTTTGTGGACTGTTAACGGTTTTTTTCCTTGTACACAGCTTCGCGTGAGGATAACACTCCTCTGTTTTCCCTTTCTAAACCTCTGATGTGTTTCCTTCTCTACTTTCCTTTAGCTTTGCTGTGTGGCGTCTTTTTCCCGAACAGTCTCATGCAATTTACCACAGGACTGGGTTTCAAGTTTTTCAGCTCCTCTGTGTGTACTAACCATCGAGTGGATTGTGCTTTGGCATATGCATGATCTTTTTACCTGAGGGATGCATTTTTTACTTTCAAGGGGCGTTGCTTATTTTCTGGCTTCCGGTTTGAAATTAACCAAAGAGGAGGAGTGGTTATTTGAGTTTGGAGGACCTGGATTGAGTTAGCATCTAGACTTTGCAGTCCATCCTATGTAAAATTGTCTGGACAAACATGTGACCCATTTTGGTGGGTCTATGTAGATCTATTTAGATTTAATGGATTGTTCTCCTCTAAGCTCACAATACCTCTCCTCTAAATTCGTTTTTTTTTTAAGCTTTTCTGCCATCGCTTCCTTTTCGAATGAAATCCTTACATGTTTTTTCTTGTGCAGCAGGGGTAGCAGTGCGAAGCGTGGAGGAATGGAGCGTTCTCAGAGTAGCACGTGGGACAGCGGAGAGGAGAGCAGGAATAAGCTGGTGAAAGCAGCCTCCACCTCCAAACTGCTGTCCAAAGTGGTGAAGAATGCAGAGAAGTAAGTGTTAGGTTCCTTCTGTCCCCTTTGCTGTAGACTCGAGTCCTCATATAAGTCATCCAACTAAAGTACAAAAAAATCAGATCGACGGAAGTGTTTTTGAAACCGTGCTTCAGGCTTTTAAAGTCATTTTTCTTGACCTTCCAAGAAAATTCCAAGAAACTCAGATTTCCCGCGAACTGGAGCTCACATGATTTATGAAGTTATACCAATACTTTGTTACATTCCATGTTTCATTTATTTTTTGTAGTATGATTATGATTTTAGCTATCAATATTTAGTGTAATACTTGCTGTTCAGCACATTTTACCTTAATTTGAATTCATTCCATAAAATTCATTCAATTTCAGCACATAATATGCAAAAAAAAGTCCAGATCCATGTGTTGTTGCAAACAATCTAAGTTGTTTATGACCCTTGCCTCTTGCTTAAAAGTGCTGAAGAAAAAGTCTTCATGCACCCTAATGTTGTTGTAAACCTGTATGACTTTCTTTATTTTTTTTTTCATGAAAACACAAAATGAGAAGTTACTGATAATGCAAGGGGATAGACACGTTCCAAAAAAAAACATAAAATCAACATAAAAGTACCATAAATTGGGCTATACCACTATATTCCAAGTCTTCCGACAATAATGTCTGAAATTTGTGTGGTCATTACCTTATTCCTTTCGCTATAACATAAAACTGATAATATGGTGCATCCGTGGTGCTTTTATGTGATTTTGGGTAACACTTTACAATAGTTCCAATTGTTAATATTAGTTAACTGCATTAGTTAACATAAACTAGCAATGCAATATACTTCGAAAACATTTATTAATCTTAGTTAATGTTAATTGCAGCATATACTAATAAATTATTAAAACCAAAAGTTCTACATTATTTCTTGGACTAACATGAACTAACAGTGATTAATGAATAAATGAATGATAAAAATTAATAATTGTACTTAATTAACTAGTGTTAACAAAGCTTAATAATTGTTAATTTTTTTTTAGTTAATATTAGGGACCTTATTGTAAGTGTTCTGTGATTTTGTTAAATTCCCGCTCACTCTCATTGTATGGGGAAAAGCATGTCAGAGATTCTCTTTTTGTGTTCTGTGGAAAAAAGAAAGTCATATGATTTGGAAACATCATGAGAGTGAGCAAATGATGACAATAAAATGAATTTTCATTTTGGAACTGTTCCTTTAAGACATTCCTGTAGTTGAACAAACATGCCGTTTTTGGAACTCACTTTTTTGTCTCGTGTTTTTGTCCCATTTCCTCTTTAGACACAGAGATCCAGTCATCAGCCAAGGTAAAGTCTCATTTTGCCTTTGCGTGATCTATTATGTTTCAACTTCATTTTTTCCTCATGTGCTCCTCTCATTTCCTGTATCACAGTGGTTCAAGTGAAACTGCTGCCTCGTGCAGACCTTCTGCGCACTTTAGATCAATACAAATTCTCATTTACATGTCATTTGCACAGTAGCATCTGTAAAAAACATTTAAGCTGTGCCCTGTAGCCAACATGCAATTCATAAGTGTAAACGAAAGCTACAGTAGCATGATGCCACCTCTTAGTACTTGGCTTTGTCCCAGGGCAAGATTAGTGGTGACACTGAAAAATACTGTTCGCACGGGGCTCATGCCAGTGATCACAGGCTAAGTGTGCCCTGGAACGACCTTATCCCCAATCTGGATTTAGCCCTGGGCCGAGAGCAGTACAGGTGTGAGCATCTCTCAAGTGGTTTTATTCTTGGCAAAGATGCACACAAACTGCATTCCTGTGTCTTGTGGTTCCTCGTTAGTTCTTACAGACTTTTCTAATGATCACGCCCATCTTAAAAACTGTTGACAGGCCTCTCTTACCATGCATCAATAAATCTGTTCCTTGTCTGTCATTCTGTGTTTGTTTTTGAGAGATTATTATTTCTGTCCCATACCCAGCTAAAATGTCAACCCGTGAAAAAAACAGTCAAGGTAAGGTCTTCCTCTCTACAGGGCCCGAAAACCGCCGAAAAAACGTTTTTTACCCCTCCCTTACCCGCTTCAGGCTGGTTATAAGCGTTTCTGGCACTAATCCCGCTTTAATTACCCGCTCTTAACTTGTTGATCGATCTGAAAGATCAATGTTCAGTCACTTCTTCCTCTCTTCTTCTGTCTCTCTGCCGCTCTTGTTCCTCAAAATCTTAAATGATATTTCTGGAGGAATCAAGAGTAAGTGGATTTCCTCCCAGCTTACAGGCTAGACGATAAACGTGCATCTCGCTTCTTCATTTCTTCTCACTGTTCTAAATAGATGACTTACTGTAGATTCACCACCAGTAACTCATTAGCAGAGGAATGTGTTTGTCCTAAAATAAAGATAGCAGAACAGCTTTACGGCTGAATCTCACTAAAGCTTTCAAGAACACGTCTAGCTCATATTTCACAGCAAAATTAAAGAAAGAGAAAGAAACAAGAAAGTGCATTTTGTAAAAAGAAATTCACATTTATTATCCATTGCAGCATTATTTTTATGATAGCTAAGCTCTTTTACCTTATTGCTAAAAAAGTCTCATTCTCATGACTGTAGAGCATGTGGGGAAGAATATTTTATTTATTGTAAAATAAAAGTATTTGTTGCAATGATTTATATAAAAAAAATGTTTTACTTAAAATCCATTGAAATTATGACAATGCAAACAATTTATTTTATTGTATTAATTAATATTAATTAATTAATATATTTATTAATAAATAATATACATTGTATTAATTTGTTTTGTTAAAAACAATAAAAATTATATATATATATATATATATATATATATATATATATA